AAACTATTTTACTGATAAATTCGCGGTGCAGCGCTGACAAGAAGTTTCTGTTCGCGTCTCCGCGTGTGTGCGCGAGTGCGTGTCTGTACTGTGTGTGCGTCTGTGAGAGAGACTGGGAGAAAGAAAGCTGATTTCCGTAGCCTAGGCTACATAAAAAAGGTGGAAGACATGGAAATCGTTTGTCATTTTTTACCCTATTGTTTGTTATATTGATTTGCTCAATATGTCTTCTGGGGTTTTGGTTCTTTTGTTGTAGATAGCCCATAGTATAACAAAAAATATTAGATATCTCTTCATTGTGTTTGGACCCCCCTGGACGAGCGAACATAGGCACGTGCCTAGAATGCCTATGCGTAAATCTGGCCCTGGTTGGTTGTAGCACCTGATGGTTTTACAGGCTATGGTTTTACACTATAGGTTTGGCTCCGTAATTCAGGGTAAACCCATTATATTTTGCCCATTGAAATATTAACCCGTGTGAAACTGCGGTTAAATGTTAAATTGGATGAATGCCCATTTGTGGTTCTTTATGGTTCTTTCTGAAATTTGAACAGTGACACGGGGGATTGCATCTGAAACATGCGCTGACGAGTTCTGGGCGTGAGCTACAGGTAAGAGAGCAGATGATTGCAACATCACTCTTCCGCTGAACGGCTGGCTATGCAGTAACCAACAGTCCCGTGTGACAGTAACGTGGAGCATGTTTTTCCCGTTTGGAGTACATAGCCAAAGTAATTTCGGATAGTGTCAGACAGTAGTTTCTTTTGGGGGACGTCTGGATACCTCACAAACGAGTAAGTAAATCATTTCTATGTATTAAAATACAAAGATACTACGGGTTTACCAAAAAGACCTTGGGCGATAAAGTCTTTTTTTCATGGAGTAGGTTATTATAATACTTTACAGTATCATATAAGCAGTTTTATATTGAAATGTATGTATAGGCCTGGAGTACAGAGTAGGCTACCATATTATTACCATCAGTGAACTGTGGTAAAAAAAAACAACAACAACCATGGTACTGAGAGAAGTTTTTAAGCTTTAAAAAGTTCCTGCAGATATTGTGGAGGAATTAACCTAACTATATATATATATATATATTCTATTAGTTATATATTTTTTATTTATACACTGACAGTCTTTGCATAAAAGAAAGAGGTCATGTAAACTTGAAAACCTGTATTTTCTATCATGGTTTTGTTAGTATGTTCTCACCAATGCTTATTCCCTGCCCTCTTCTCCAGTGGAAGCCCGTTTACCAGAGGGCCGACACGGGCCTCTAAAATGCGTAATTTTAATTGGGAGGCCATACCTAAGGACACTGTGCTTGGCAAACATAACATATGGACGGCTGAGAAGAACAGTGAGTTTGAGTTGGACACCAAAGGTATGGAAGAGCTATTCAGCCGCAATGACCAGAAACAGGTCCAGGTCACAAACCGCTGCAGTGTACGCCAGTCCCCGAGCCATGCCTCAGGACCGGAAATGGTGAGTTCAGGTAGAATGTGCCAGAAAATTTGTTTTGTACCTGCAAGCTTACAGTAAATGGGTGTTTCCAGACTCACTTCATCAGAGAGATCTGCATATGCTTACATCAAGCTTGTCACTGGGGTCGGGTCAGTGACTGTCCCCGACAGTCTGTAATAGAGATGACTTTTAGTTAGTTGTAGTAACCTCACTTAACTTCTGTTTATTTTGGGCTCTGTAATTGTTACTGTAGAAGTGATTACAGAGCTGAAGGTTATTCAAGCATCATATATTCTCATGCTGCATGCAGGAGGTGTCATAATTGCAAGTTTTGCATAAACCGTTTCTTTCTGGTCACTTATCTTTCACGTAGTGTACTATCAGAGTATTACTTTCTAAAACTTCTACCTGATCTAACCCTTTAATTTAGTCTTTTTGTACAACCCAATGGATTTAGGTTGATTTAGTGACGTTAAATTACATTTTGAACTTGAATAAAATGTTAATGTAACATTTAACATAAATTGTTTATTTATATATATATATATATATATATATATATAAACTATTCTGTCATGACTGAATCAAACTGACTTCATTATACTGTATCCATAAAACTAATTTTGAATGCATAGATTAGATAAAATAATAATAATAAAGATAAAACTGATTAAGGAAACAATTGCATACTATCACTTTTTATAGTGTAAATTATGCATGCTATTGTGGACCAATTACTATTTTTATCATAATTTTACTCTTTGGTAAGTTTAATTCATTGCATAATAAATTCAGCAAAAGGTGGCTAGGTTATGACATTCTGCCAGAGAACATCTGTTTAAAAACTTCTGCCAAAGTCACATAATACAGAACTAATTGGTAACTAATATCAGATAGATAATGGAAAAAAAGGGAAGTTTAATAAAAGGAAATTTAAAGGAACACTCCACTATTTTTGAAAATAGGCTTTTTAAAATAAAACGATAATGTTTTATGCAGCTATTTCATTTGAATTACAAGCCTGAAAAAAAAAATCATGTATGATGCATACAATTCCATTTTATTTTATTTCATAAGTAAGACTGGGGTTTTATATAGTGATATTAGGAGGGATCCAATTCCATTTAATCTCTGGAAAATCTGAGATTTTGTAACTCTTGAGATAGTCTGTGGAGGTCTTGATCTGTAATTCTACCACCTCTTTTTCCATAGGTCAGTGAGGGGAATGATTGATGACATTATCAACTGTAGAGGAGAAAGATTTGGTACTGGGAAACTGAAGGAGTTGTGCAAACTACTGCCAGAGGATGGAGAGGTGGGTGTAATATATGGATCTCTGGGCCTTAGTTACACTTGTTGAGCAATTCCAAGGTTTTAATAGTGTGCCAATGGCATTTGAATAAACGTTTGTGTTTTATGCAGCACTTTCATTTGAATTTCAAAATGAACTTTCATTTGGTTTGAACTAAAATCTTACTGTTATGTATTGTGTTTCTTCATTTCATTAGGTGCGTCAGCTTCTTGATTTTAAAGGAGACTATTCAACTCTCTCCGAGGCAGATCGGTTCATGGTACAACTTGTCAAAGTTCCTTGGTGGGTGTATACAGCCACACAAAGACAAACACACACTTACACAACTGTACACAGAGCGCCTTCGATACAAAGTAATTTGCACAGTACTGTTCATATTTTATCTCCATTGCCAGGCATTGATTATCAATACAAGACATTGGATTTGCAGGTCACTGAAAATTACTCTAAATGTAAGAGAACTTTATGATTTTATTTCTTTGTTTGTTCTTCCTCTAGCTATGAGGAACGGTTGAACAGTTTAGTACTCAAAGAGGAATTCTCACATTTTATGGATGAAGTGAATCACTCTGTTGCAGTCATGACCTCTGCTGGACAAGGTAAGATTTAGATCCCTTTAAAGCCATCTTCTATTTCCTATAAGTCAATCTTCTTCCCTTTTTTGAAGCAGGGAAGTCACACTTTGTTTCCTGTACTGAAAAACATTAACATTTTAAAATTAATTATCTAATTAATTGCAAATTAATAACACATCAAATTTGGCTCAGAAATTTCCCCAAAAGAAATTTTAAAAGTAGCTTAAGAAACTTTTTAGATTTGTTTTTAGCTAATATGGATTTTCATTTTCAGATTTTTTATTAATATGGGAATATTTGTGAATCTTTTATCATTTAATGTATCATTAATGAAATGATACTTTAAATAAGAAACTAAAACTGGCAGTAGATGGCGGTAAATGTCTTAACGAAAAATGCACTATGTTGCGATGGTAGCTATGATGTTTAATATTATACTGTGGTGCCAGAGCCACGTAAGACACACAGCTTTATTTTCATTTTAATTATTTTCGCATGTGCCTGATACCACAGCAAGCTCAGAAGATTGATGCATCGCTGCTGAGGTTCCCAGAGCAACTACAGCACATTGGAGATGCAGCAAGGTAGGCCACACATTGCTGTCTGAAAAATATGGCACTTCCCTGTAATTATTTTATGTGATTAATTTAATTGTAGCTGAATATAAACACACACACACACATTACAAAAATCTGGTGATGAAGTTTCAACAATAAAAGCAGCATTTTAACCAGTGTTATTTTAGTATGCTTAAAATACTATTATAGTATTTATGAATATTTTGAAAAGCTTTTAATTTTCAGTTTAATTTAAGTTTTAGTCATTTTGTCTTGTGCTTTTGTCATTTTTATTAGTTTTTTTTTAAAATATATTTCTCTTATTCTTTAAAGAGAACTACAACTAACTTACAACTAACTTTTAAAGGGGTCATATGATCTAATTTTAAAGATCATTATTTTGTGTATTTGTTGTAACAGAATATGTTGACATGCTTTAATGTTCAAAAAACACATTATTTTTCAAATACTGTACATTATTGTAGGTCCTCTATGCCCCGCCTCTCTCAAACGCTTCGTTTTCTACAAAGCCCCCTCCTTTGACAAGCGCAGTCTGCTCTGATTGGCCAACTGACCCAGTGCATTGTGATTGGCCAAACACCACAAGCACGCGTCGGAAATGTAACACCCCTTACCATAACCGCGAGCTTCACCTTTCAAAGTAAATATCAGTTAATAATGACGTTA